CCCCAAAACCCCAAAACCCCAAAACCCCTTTCAGAACTAAAAATATAGAAACATGGTAAAATAAATCAGGATAGTTTAATATTGCAAGATGCATTAAATCATCTTGAACATTCTTGTGATCTTCCTATTAAGAGTCTAAGATCTAGCAGTTATGGAAACCTCAAAAATTAATCAAAATAGCCTATGATAAAATAAGTTTTCTACAAGATTTTTAATTAGGAAAATATTAAATTAACCCTTTGGTGGCCAAAGTATTATCCTTAGGCTCTGGTTTGCAGGTCCATCAGAGCCTAAATCAACTTTTTCTGACCGTATTCTTAGAGAAATTGCATCCAAAATACTGTATGCTATTGCTGAAGAAAGGATTGATTCCTTCGACAGATGTGAAGTCTTCTTTCAGGAAGATATACATCACAAATTCCTCACCTGTTCCTATATTATATTAGAATTTATCGACCAAGAAATTTGGTTTCGGAACTGAATAATTATTCCATGATTAAAGGTAGATCTTTAAGAAGGCTGAAGAGGCTTACCTTTCCACTCAAAGGAGGTATGCTCGAATCCTTTGACATTTTTATATAACTTGTTGAGGTATAGCAAAACTCCTCCAATTTTAAAATCACTTTCAGCAAATTTCTCATTTCAATACTTTCATGCATAGTAGATATCCTTGTCGACCTGGATGGGGCTGGCTAGCTAAATTTGTAAGTTAACACTCAAGTTAGGCACCTCTGAGAGGCCAGATTAGCAACACTAAGGAGAGATAGCTTACATATTCCTTATTTTTTGCCATAAATGCCAGAAGTTTCCTCCGATCTTTGTACTTATTTTCTTGAAATTTTGAATTTTTTCCTAACTTTGCCTAATCTCCAGATCATGAGGCCTGGTTGCGTTCTGAGGAAATTAAGTGTGTAGAATACATCTCGTTCAAACTCACTGAGCATGACCCCATCAGGGATCTGTGGTAGGAAGGAGTTCTCTCCAGTGGACATTCTATGAGAAAAGGTTAACCACACTCCTAATATCGCTTACTTCTCATATAATTTCTTAATGGAAACCTGGTTGCTATTCCCCATTCGATGATTTTGTGGGTAAATTCTATTAATTTCGAGATAATAGGGGTTTTGGGGTTTTGGGGTTTTGGGG